GGGATAGCAGTTGTAACTGAGGAAGGGCTGCATTGAGGCATAGCTGTGTAAGCATGATTCTTGATGATTGCTTCTTCTCTGCTATTGAAGATTATTGAAAGGTTAACCTCCCTCCTTATACTGTAACTAACTAGAGTATACACTTTTTTCTTTTTTTTTGGGGTGGGGGGAATCTCAGTCTGTGCATATGCACTTGCAATTCATGTGTCAAAGTCAACTTGAACTGGAGAAGTTAACGCATGGAGGTGGCCATGATTTTGGGGAATTTCTGTGTAATTTTTTCTTATGCTTTGCAAAGGCTCTAGCGTTTATGATACCCTATGCATGTATGCTTAGAAGTAGAATAGATGATTTTGCAGCTACACCATCATACATTATCTTCTGTAGGAAGACAGGTGTATCAGAGCTCCTGAAGCTCTGATTAGATTTCATTCTGAGTAAGGGAAACAGTGTGATAAAGGACTCTGTTCCTCTACATTCCATTCACAACATTTAAATTACTTGCTAGGCTAAACATAATTGTTTCTACTTTTCCCAGATTCCCCCTAGAATCCTGGATGGAGTAATGCAAATTCACTTCTGTAAATACTATTATATGTTTAAAGCTCTCAATACCCAAGAAAATCTTGAATAGCACTAAAAATAGCACTAAAATGGAGTACCAAGGTAGAGGTGAGCAGGGCAACCTCAGGCACGCATAAGTTGTAAAAGCTGTGAGCTTCTTTATCTTCCACAAAGACATCTCCCTTAAATTTAAATAGCTGCTGTCACTGTCAGTGACTACCTGACTATGTATTTATCTGCCCAGAAGCAGAGTGCATGGCCTTTGGCCCTGCTATTCATGGTGTTACTGTCTGCCTAACAATGCTGTGAACAGAGCTGGGCTTCTGTTAGTGTCTTTTGTTTGATGTGAATCGCTGAAGCTTTGATGTTGTTTGTGAGAAAAATAATGATTAAAAAGAGTAAAATCTTCAGTCTCCCATTCTGTCTGCTCCCCATAAAGAAATCTAATCTGAGTTCTAGGAAAAAAATCTGTGCCTGATCCTGTTCTAGGTACACTCAAATCACAGAGCCCAGGAGAGAAATCTGTTAGTGCTGAAACTCTTAGCATCTCTTTACTGGAGGGACAGAGAGGTAATTTTTCTAATGATCAATATTTTATTTCCTGTTACACAAATATGTATGTCCAGATAAGTACAGAATATTTTCTCTGTGTAGTGAACACAGCTGTCAGTGTAGCTGTAGTGCTTTTATTTCCAGTGGGATGTCTTAGATTTTCTGCTATAGTTGTATGTGCTTCACCTTAATAGAATATTACAACAAAAAAACCCCGGATTATTACCTCATCCTGAAGCTGCACTAGGAAATATGAAATGCTCTACAGTGAAAAAAAAAAAAGTCATTTTTTCTTGTAAATTATTATTTTAATAAGCTTGTTTCTCATCTCCACTGATGAATGCTTTTCTTGGTGGCATTTTTGAATGAAGAGCAAATGTGATGCATTAAAGCGTAACTAAAGGCCCTAAAAGCAGAGCATCAGAGTAAATGGATGGCTGTTCTGCTACTCAAGGTAAAAACTCCACTGTTACATATATATATATATATACACTCTGAACAGTGATCACTACAGTAACAAAAAGTAAATTCAATAAAATTATAATGTCCCAAGAGTAATAAAAAGCAATGAACAAAAAATTGGGAAGCTTTTATCTTCAAACCTTTGATCCATACTGTGAAGGAAGCAGATTTTATTACTAAGGTATCTTGAAATCGGAGGTGGCTTGATTCCCACACTGAGCTGCAGATGCGGGAGAGAGCAAGGGAATAGAGCAAGCCACGGCTTACCTTGTGCCAAGAGCAGAGTCGGCTAACAGAGCAAACACAAAAAGGTTTTGGATTTAGGCAGTTGGATATGAGAAATCGAGTTGTGTATAATTCTTGATATTTTTATTTTTTAATATCCCCAGCTATCATCATATATCTACATTCAGCTTCAAGCTGCATGTTAACTACGGTGTAGCATGTTTACTGTATTCCTGACATTCCTTCTGGTTTGGACAGGCATTCCAAGGGGCAAGTGGGATTGCTAATGGAAGTGGCACAAATCTTGATGTTTTGCTAGTCACTTGTAAACCTTCTCACAAAAAGGGTCCAAACTTAGGAAACAGTTCTACCCAGGTAAGCAGAGGGATGCGATAAACATCCCCCAATAAAGGAGACTTCATTGTACTTTCCTTGGGAGAAGAGCTGCACCTCAAAATGGTCTGTCTTAATTATATTAAAGAAATGTAGAAAGCAGATGCATAAGGAGAGGAGGCATGGCCAAATCTCCCCAAAGAGTGTTTGAGAATGGAAGAAAAAGAAATGAGGCTAGGAAGGCCATAATACTCTAAAATGCTCTGCAAAGTTTGAAGTATAAAACATTCCCCTGTGGACATTCTGGTATGTAGCCTTGCTCGTAAGTATGCACTGTGGAGAAGGTACAGGTCTGTTACAGTACTGTCAGTGGCATTAGGGCAGTGGGGTGGTCTGATACTTTGGGCTGTGGAGTTCCTTCCATATGGCATATACTTCAGACAAGTGCAGCTTCCAAGAGTAGCCTATTCCTGGGCAAAGAAAATTTCAGGGTGCTTTGCTGATCTCCTGTCTGACTTTAATGGGAGTTGCCAGCATTTGGGAGTTGGGAGTGTAATGGGAGTTGCTGGGACCATCTCTGCTGTGAGGGTGTCGAATAGCATTAGGTCCTGCTGTAGCAACTGTTTCGGCATGCATGCTAAGATGTGGCCACACAGATTCAGGACTTTTAACTGCTAGCATGGAAAAAAACTGCTTGCAAAAGCCTTCATTTTGTTCTCTATGGTTTAATGCTGTAATTCTGGTATCAAAATGAGTGTCAAATGTTTATTTCAAACATACGGTTTTTATAAGCACTTTGCTAGTGAGCAATGTAAGTACTGCTAAGATTTTACCAATTTGTCAGCTGCCACTCTGCCTCTTTATGTTGTATTTGTAATGGTGTAACTCATTCTCTCCCCACATGCAGTCCCTATGACATATCACAATGGCTAGAATTTTAAAGATTGTATTTGGAAGGAAAAAAGAAATCTAGGACTTGGCCCTACTTGTAATGTTCAGCCAGCCCTAAATGGAGGATTTACAATGTCTGAATACATTGCTGATGTGATATGTGTATTGAGGTTTGATTAAGCTGGATATGAAAATTAAAACTTGGCTCCACATTGAAGAGAATCTCCCGCAGTGTGGTACTATGACATCAAGTTTTCTGTTTACCCCTAAGGCTGATGCTGCAATGACTTCCAGGTTTGATGGTGTCTCTTTTTTAAGTTGTTGAGCAGCAGGCTAATAGCTGCACAGCATGATGCAGAGACAGCAGAAAGCAGGGAAATCAGATGTGAATATATTCCCCAGAGATCTCCTGCTAAGATGGAGCTAACTAACCAGAGCTTTAATGCTCAGATGTAGTCTCCTCATGCAGAAGATGGGCTGATTATCAGTTCTTCCTGCTTTAACATACATTTTTGGATTACAGATGCTATTACAAATGTGAATTCTGGTACAATATGCATTCTAGTGTAATATGAACTATTATACTGTAAGGAACTTTCTTTTTAAGAGTTGTTGTCTAAGGTCAGTTGTCATCCCCCCGCCTCCATTGCACAGAATGGTCTTGGCATTTCAAAAAATACAGGTTTATATTCTTGTGTGCTTGCTCTGCTTTAGTTATTTGAAGCTGTAGCTTTATTTTATTTCATTGTGACAAAGACTGTCCTGAGAAAGGGACAAGATCTGCCGGCAAGGCAGTAGCACACCTTGCTGTTCACCCAAGTGCATGTTGCCTATGTCACACAACAGGAGTTGCCTTTGCTGGTGGGCAGTCACTTCGTTGTCACAGTGGCAGCTTCAGATGCTGCAAGGTATAGAGAACAAGGGAAGGACGCTGTATGCTATTGGTGATGTATCTGGTCTATAAAACAAAAAGGAACTGCCATTCATTTTTGTGTGTAGGAAAGCTATATTCAGGCACAAATTCAGCAGTTTAGTGTTAACATGGGAGCTGGTACCTGCTTTCCACCTCTTGGCTTTGTATCATCACAGACCCATTCATTGCTTGGAGATGTGAGGCAGTTTAGGGTGCAGTGGTAACAGGGAGAATGTGTTTCAGTTCCCCAAAACTGCCTAGCGAGAACACCCCAATGTTCTCAGTGGTAAAATTGGTAGTCTTTAGTGGCATAAGGTGGTCTGTGTGGTTTCAGTGAGTAAGTGGAAGAGTGGCTGACATGGTTATTGATGGTTGCGTTTCTGCAGTGTTATGTTGGATTTATCCTGCTTGTGTAGCTCTGCTTTCTGTACAGGTAAGAGACAATTAAAATTATGAAGTTTATATTATACAAGTCAGATTCTGAAGTTGGTTTAATCCGAAAAGAGGGAAGCATTATTCTGGTCCTCTACAGCCTTAATAAAGTAGTACCTGAGCACTTATATCAAGCATCCACACAGTCCATGTGGAAGCATGATTGAAAGAGGAAACTCCAAGTTAAACAGCACATAGGTTAAACCACAAATCATTTGCCACTGACCTTAAAAGCTTGGCCTAGAGTGCCCTCTAACATGGAATAGAGGCAGAAGGGAGCGCAAAGGTTCAGCCTTGTGCTTCCCTTTGGGTCACGCATATTTGGACAGATCGGACAGCAGCACATAACAAGGCTGTCCCACTGCACACCTTGCCATGATGAGAATTTGTTTGTCTCAAATGTAATAAACTAAAAGGTTGCCCTATTGGCTTTTATTATTTAGTGGGGAATTATGTTTATAGATGTTACCACCTTCAAGGAATCTGAAGATTTCTGCATAGGGTTCAGACTTTCGGTAAAGTCAGAGTTCGAATAGCCTTCAAGGCTGCATTGCAAGCTAACTCTTTTCCCCTAGAGAGGCAGGAACAATCTTCTCTGGACTCTACAAGAGCAGTAAGTAAAAATTACCTCATACAATGGCATGCAGATGCTATCAATCCACTCGAGCTGCAACCTGGGTAGTTCATCTTTCCTGTTCCGATCAAAAATCGCCTGAATTGAGAAGGGAACAAAACTGTCATGCTTTATTACACTGGAGTATTTTACAGACACATCATTCAGCACTTTGGAGCTATGATCAAATTCTCACAACCAGAACACTTTGTAAGCTGTAATCAATCTTTGCAATAGTAGTCTTCCTACTGCTTTGTCTGGCATGAAAAATAAACTTTATTTTCAATTCTGTTTTGGAATTTGTAGGCTGAATGTATTTGAATTTTGTAATTCTGTGGTGTAAAATAAATGCTCCACAAGTTGGAGTTGAGCTGGTAAGAAACCTCCTGTAGAAATGTAAAGTAGATACTTTTGAGTAGAAATTTCCCTTTTCTCACGTAGGCTTTTTCAGCTCAGCAAAATGAACAGTGGTGGATCTGGGCTGGTTCCCTCCCTCCCAGTTACTCTGGGATATGCCAAGTTTTAAATGTTTCTCTCTTTTTCTTTGGAAAGTCTGTTTTTATTCTGGGCTCATCTTCTCAAGGTTGATGTTTCCTATGGAAACTTACTTTCCATCTCTACCTTCTCAAAATTCCAGACTAATTACATTACATTAAATGTCTGGTTGAATTCTTCTAATAGTAGCCTGCTCTTTCTGACATACAGGTATTACTCAGTGTATTTAAATAAGAACAAGAGATAAGATTCAGGAACTCTGGTCTTAAATGAGAATCTTAGGTTTGATTTTGGAAAATTCTGTATTTCTTATTCACGTAATTTTGAAAAATCCTGTCATTTTCAAATTATTATAAGCACAATGCAAGAAAAATAATCCTTGAGTTATAAGAGAATATTGCATTATCTTGCTGATTACCAACTCTTTTGTCTGATTAGCAGCGATATCTATCGAGGTGGTTTGTCATAGCAATATGTCATGAAATAGATCAACATTTGATCTTGTTTAAAAATTGTCATTAATATGGTAAAACTCTACATGAGATCTACAATTTTGACCCTTGATTATCAACTGTTTGAACTGATGAACTTGGATTATTTACTGGCCTTATTTCTCATCATAAAACACTTAGTACATGAGTTAACTGTATTATTTTGAAATTCTAAAGGGCCAAGCAGAGGGGAAAATCTTCCTTCAAGCTGTATGGCTTCGAAGTGTGTGGCCCATAAATTACTATATACCTTGGTGTAGGCTGTGGAGTTCAAGAGTGAGAGGGCTCCTGTGATGGAGGCAATAGTAAAAAGATTTATAGCAATACACTTCTTTCCCACCTGTCTGGGCTATTAGATGCAGATTTTCAGAAGGCAGAAGTCTAGAAGAAAGTTCTGGGCTTTTGTCTTTCTCTGCAGTTCTACCAAGTCTACAGTATGTCCAAAAGGTAGATGTAACAACACACTTGAGAATAACTCTTAAGGTTGCTGGACATGGGCCATTTTCACTGGAATTCATTGATCCTTAAAGACAGTAACTGGTCTCAGAACTGTGAATACCGTGACTGACTGACTACTCTTCTACTGGACTATAGCTGTCATTTTTTTCTGAGATGTACACACAAAACTCCTATAGGGAAAAATTCAGTAATGTTGCAACCTGTGAAAAGCCATTTACTGTAGCTGAGCATTATTGACCACATACTTTAAGGTTTTTACTTAATTACATCACCACAGGCTCGTATGTGAGTATTACTGAAGTGAGAATAAGTTGGAGCCATTGAAATGGTCTTTTTATTTTAGGAAATATATTTGTCATGGCTTGCAAATTAAATTCTTTAGAATACTTTCTGCTACCCTTCTCCTGTTGCTTCCAGACAATGGCTTGGCAACACTTAGAAATGTTGGATAAAGATGACCTGGATAAATCTTTCTTCAAGTTGTTCACTGAAAACCTTTGTGAAACTTTTTTCCTTACTTGTTTGACACTTTATACCCATCTGCCTGTATTCCACTCAATACCAATTTATCCTTTCAATCAGAGTGTTATATTTAGTTGAATATCTATAGAAATGCTTTTCTGCCTTTGACACATCAAATAACACAGCTGCATCATAAACTAATCCTGACAATCTTGATTTCCATAGGCAGCTGATGATTTTTACTTGACTACTATGTATTAAAAACAATACAAATTGCTTAGAAAATTGACTGACAGAATAACCTTGGGAATAGGTACAGAAAATGGAGAAAAGGGCTTAATACAAAGTGACTGAGTTGATTGGAAAGCTTTTGTTTATACAAGGGTCTAATATATGGCATGTCCTTATTATACAGAGTATTTATTCCAAGATTTTTCTTTACATGCAAAATATAGTTAGTTTTTCTGAATGTACCCAATATTTTCTTACCCTATGCAAGTTAGTAAGTATTTCATAAAGTATTAAAACTTACTGAAGGGGTGAGTTTCAGTTCAGATCTTTCTCTGTCTCCTTGTTCAAAGAACTCACTGGTTACCAGCTCAGCTGCCTAAAACATAAATCAAGATAAAGGTTAGAGTTCTCACTACATAATTTTTAGGGTAATGAGTTCTTGCTCAGACTAGGACTTCAGCCTGTGCTTAACCATAAAGAAGTGACTAGCTTAAGCTATGTGACTGGTATCAGGCACGTGTTTGCATAGTTTTCAGGACTGGGCATATGGGGTGTACAAACAGCCATAATCACTGATAGGCACACATCCTTTTGAAAGGGAATTGACTGTTGGAATTACATTGCAATATTGAGGTAGCAGTCAATGTACTTACATGCAACTTAATCAAGTATTAAGAACAGAATAGAAAATTATAGCTTCTTGTTGGCATCCACAATTATATCTGTAAAAATGCTTTGTAAAATGTGCACGAGCTCTCTGGGTATTTACAGCCTGTTGCCCTGTATAAACAACTTCGCTTATAAAAGCAAGTTAATGAACTAATATCATCTGTTGTCTTAATTTAATGTGAAATCATAAAGGTTTTTTTCCCCACTAGGCTTTACTTTTTTTTCCCATGACTGCAATCACTATCGGCTCTGCATATCTAAATATGAAGTTAGATTATCATATTGAATCAAAATCAAGAACTAGTGGGTTGGAAGTTGTAACGCATCTTTCTGGCTTTTGTGAATGAAGATGTTCTTTTCACAGATGAGGTTTGTGCTTCTCAGAAGAACACAAGATTTAAAACCAAAATTGATTACGGAAACATCAGGAATTTTAGGAAGTCAGACAGTGAATAATCCTGATAAAGTAGCCTTTATGTACTGTGCTTGTCATGTGTGGGGCTTTGAAGGTAGGCATTTTTATGTGACATTTGAGATGCAAAAAAGGGAAACTAATCTACTGAAGATGGCATTTGGTTCCTAATGCTCCTGTCATGCCTCCTTATTGCTTTCAAGTAAATTCAAGCTAGGAAATGATTTTATAATGCTGAAGCACAAGAGCACATAACTAAGCAGAGAACCTACACTTCATAAAATCTCAAAAATTCTTGCTCTAGCAACTGCATTTTCCTAACATTCACAAATCCAAAGCTTTTTACATTTGAAATAAGGTGTACTGAAATAAATTTGAAGTGGGTGAAGTGATGTTGTAAAGTACTCTTAAATCTTGAGCTAGGCTATCACGGTTTGGAACTTTATAATGTATGTAATCCCAATGCACTAATAAAATCCTGGATCAATACTCCAGATAGAGGAATAATTTAACAACTTAGAGGCAATTAACAGTTTGCCAAGTGTATTGTATAAAAATGATAAAGATTTAGTCTCACCCCTGTCTGTCACTGCTGCTTTGATCCTGTACTCCTTGTGTGCCTTTCTCTATCATCTCTTCCTGATTTTTTCTTTCTTACATATAGACTTTATTTCCTTTGATTCATGTATTTTAATCTTTATCCTTCACTTTTCATGTTGTGAGGTTTTTTGGGTGGGGCAGGATTTGTTTTTTTCTTTTGGTACATTTGAGGTCCAACTATTGCTGTTTTCCCTCTATGGACTTATCAGCCTCTCTGCTGAACCAGGTAATGTTTCAAATGGAACCTTTGATTTGGTTGCCGGTTTCAGGTTATGCACCAGGTTGCAGATGAATGTTTACTTGCAGACTTCAAAAGTGGTAAGAATAAAAAAACCCCAAAACATGCCAAACAACAGCTTGTCGGAGAATTCTGCACTAATTCAGCACCAGAGCCCAAAGGCTGACAGCATGGAAAACAGACCCTACCTGACATTTTGGCTGTCAAAGAAAAGGGAGAAGCTAACTGGGTTAAAGAGGAAAATTGAGGAGGGATTGCACACAGTGCAGTTGTGGTTAGGTGACACTGAAAAGTCTTGTGACTCATTTTCACAGGATACAAGCAACTTCTATGATTTCCATGAGAGACGACCATATTAAAGTAGAGTAACAGCCTTATAGGACTGTTGTCATGCACTGCTTATAAAAGCAAGAAAATCTCATCTGACAAAGCTGCAAGCTGAGCAGAAGCCCTCACCACATAAGTGTGGTTTGTTTTTTGTTTTTACTGAGTTAATGTGCATGTAACAGTTGTAGGTCCCTTTCAGCTCCTGTTACATCTTTGTCCTTCCCCAAGAAATCTATCTGCTCCTGCCTCACCATTTATCTGGTTTAGCTTCTTTTTTTCACCACATCTTTTTAGCCATCACTTTGCTGTTAAGCCAATCAGGCTCCCTCCAGGTGCTTGGTGACACTCAGCTGCACTGGTATATATCATATTCTCTTCCTGATGGTGTATATTCTTCCAAAACCCTACACATCTTGCTTTTTACTAGCTTGTTCTGGACCTCAGTAAAGGACAGAATTATTAGCATGGATACAGGAGATAATAAGGATGGATGCAGAGTATGGAAAGATGCCTAGAAGAGGGAAAATCATGTGGTAAAGGACAAGACTTTTGGGACAGCTTGCTTTCTCCCATTTGTAATTGTTTGCCAATGCTGGACCCCAGTTTCATGTTTATGCATGCATGTGTACATTTATGTATGTACAGATACACATATGTGTATTTCTAAGGAGCCTACTCAGCAACAGAAGCCTGAATTTTTGTTTGTTTCCAAGTAGAGGATGCTAAAAAAGGTTCAATACTACACTTGCACTTTTTTTTCCCTCAGTGTTGAGAAAATGAACACATTTCTCCTCTCATATAGACCAAGTATTTTATGTTAATCAGTGTTTGCAAATCATCTGCTAGTATTTTTGATTTAGGGAAGATTTTGCCACTGCCAAGGAAAACTTTGTGACAAAAACAAGTAAATGCATCTACACGTGGCTAATGCTTTTTTTGTTTAATCTGTTTTTTTATATGGATTTAAAAGGTTTGTAAGGGAAGAGGCTGTAAAGCCACATCTCTTCAGGTACCTACATGCTGCTCACCAGCATGTGTAGATGGAAAGATTATGCAATAAACCATTTCTTGCAGAACCCCCCTGCTATTTTTTTATAGCATTAATACAGCTGTAAATTGATTCCAGTTTTGGTCCCCTGTAAGCCAGGGCCCTGGGAATATTGTCCTGCCAGTCCCGCCTCCTCCCAGCCCTGCTATTAATCATGACTTGCCTGTCTTGAAATCTCCCACGGTTTGGTCACAGCTCCAAGGTCACAGGCTGTCATTAGCATTGATCTGAAAAACAGAAATGAACAATACAAGCTGAATCAACCTTTGTTCTATTTCTAAACAACTCTGCTCTGAGTGCATAAATAAATAATACATATATAAAATGTCAGCCCTGGCACCATCTTTACCTCCAGAAAAGGATGACATGTTTGAAATCTCAGCCATCAGCATGGCTTTTGCATCACAATTGTGCCTAGGAAGCCTAATGTGTTGCAGGTCATCAGATGATGAATTTTGGTGTTGTGCTTTGTATGCTAGAAATGATATTGCAAGGGAGTTAACTGCTAATTTTGCAGTACTTCTAACACTGCTTACATTAATACCTGTAATATACTAGAAAGCATGTGCTTCACATGATATAAGTAAGGGTATTATTATATAATAACACCTGCAAACTGGATTAATTTATATGCCTATTTGTAAAAGTGACTGCTGTAGCAAGAGAACCTATAATCACAGGAGGCAACCCAGACACTGTTTAAGCAGTTTCTACTGCTCATCTACAATAAAAATTTAAGATTTACTATGAGCTATACTGTTCCACTGTAGTTTAATACCCAGCTACAGCCATGTTTTATATGCATTAGGAGAAAGAAACCATTCAGCTGTAGAAAGCGTTTATGTACAGTACATGATGCAGATAAAAGTCTAAGAAAGTTTAAATGAAGAACAAGGGCACTGAAAATGAAACATCAAATATATTGCCTGAATCTAAAATTAGGAATGGGTGAAATGATATGGAAAATAGAAAATGGCCAATGTTTTGGTCAAAAGACCAAAAGGAAACGGAGTTTAAATGAAATTTCAGATAAAATGAGACATAATCAGGCATGCATATGCGAATGCACACATTTTATTGTCTCAAAAGCCTGGTATACTCAAACCACCCACAATGTCTGAGGTTTTCAATAGGATGCATGCTCAGATCATTTTTGAGGGCTAGAAGAGTACCATGTATCTGCAAATTCCCAGGTACAGACTAGAGGAGCAGAGAGAAGCATGGCCTGTGAAAGGAAACAGCTGAGAGGAGGAGGGAACAGGGACAAAAAAGATCTTTGTGTCCTGAGGCAGAATACTGATGCTTTCTGGAGAAAGAGCAGAAGGGCTGAGCAGTAACTGGTGAGGCTGGGAGAAAGGGAAGAAAACATGAGAGTGTCAAGGCAGAAACAGGAATGGAGAAGGTGAGGTCACACTGATTACATCCTTGCTGTTTGGTAATGTTTAGAAATCATACCATATTTTTCTTATCATGAATCATATAGTTAAAATAAGCTATCTTATCGTGTTATTCTGAGTCTTCATGATATTTTAAATTCCTTAAACAAATACGGCTTCACTTTGAAATAACCAGAAAGTAAGAAATAGTAGTGCTCACCGAAATATTTCTCGGTGATTTTTTGTATTCCAATCGTAACCACCTTTACTGACAAGTTCAAAAAACTCCGTCCTTCTCCTGCAACAAAACAGATTATCAGAGAATGAAATGACACTTTCAGGGCAACACTGCAGTGGAAGCACTGTTCTCTGGTTGACATGAAATCATTGCACCTCGTGTATTATTGTTAAAGTCGTTATACTGACAGTCCATTTAAGCGAAACATACTAATATCTGAACATGTTCTATAAATGTCTGTTACCAATGTCAGAGTTGCCTAGTAAAAGCAATATTATATTTATGGTCTCTGAAGATAAGGAAATAAATGGTACCAAAATGTTCAGTCATCCATGGAAGCATGAAATGTTCAGCTACAGCAGTGGACAGACAATAGAAACACCCCTGAAATATTTACACACTTCTCTTTACTTGTCTTTGCAAAATAGCTTTTACTTCTGTATCCTGGAGGGTTTTTCAGAAACTCACAATTCCTGTTATTTCCAGCACTCAGAACAGAACAGCGAGACACAGGAACTGCAGATGTTTTGAGTTAGTAGTTCTTAATTGACTACAAACTAGGTCTCCCTGCTTGGTTCCGTGCTTTGTCTTCTGGAATATCTTCCTTGTGTCCTCGAAGAGGGACAAAACGTGAGCCAGGGCATGTTAATGCCTGTTTGGTGCCTTTAAGTACCAAAATTCTGACTCACCATAGCCTATAACTTTTTATGGCACTGAGACTGAGCAGCTCTTACTGCATGCAGCGTGACTACAATATGAAACAGATCCTGACCCAGATATAGCAGAACTTGAGGTACAAAAATATGGAACAACTTGCCCAGAGTAACACAACGTATTAGCATCAAAGCTGGAAAGCAAATACCTGTGTTCTGAGTAACAGTCCAGTGCCCCATCTCATAGGAGATTCTTTGTTAACTGAAAATGTAGTTCGATTCCCCAAGAGTGAGTTTGCAGAATCCTGTATTTATTTTCTACATTAACTTCATCATATTTTGAACAGTGATTATTGAAAGTAGTCTGACAGCAGCAGCACAGGTTTTATACCTGAGGAGATTCACACTGCCAGGAACATTGACCTTGCTCAATGGACAGTATTTTATGTGGAATATGTTCCATTATTCTGGTTCATGACTGTCATACATTGCATCACCACCAGTCACTGCTACTATCGGGCCTTTCTATAATGGATTTCATAACAGCAGCTAGAGCAGAGAGATATAAGGATACATAATGATATCTAATCCCTCATGAAATAAGATATAGGAGTTTCACATTACAAAATGTGCTGGGACAATGCAAAGCCACACACACAGAAAACAACTCAGTTCTCTGACACAAAGTCATAGCATCATGGCTCCAGTGGAAATAACTGCTGCAACAATGACAATCTTAATGGCCAAGAGTAGTTGGCACATAAAGCTAAAACCAGCCTAATCCTGACCAGATCATCAACAACTAGACGCTCTAAGAGAGCAAGCAGTGGATTTTTCCATACTGTATTTCAGTGCCCAATCTAACAATGCAAAATTTGGTAATGATTCATTTTGAAGTATTAGATGTTCTGGGCAATTCATATATTAATGCACAAAACCCAGGTAAAAATGCTTAAAGCTGAAAGCTCAGGAAGGTGACATCTCAGAAACCTCAAACATTCACATTTGAAATAGAGCAATCCATAAACAGTAACTGAAAATGTGAGTCTCAAGGCTGTATGTTAGGGTAAAAACTTTAAAATAAGAATTTTCTTTTTAAATCCATTTAAATGAATGCAGGAGGTGTAGTCCAGTTCCACAGATAATTTCTAGTGTAGGAAGGAGTTAGCCTGAGGAAAGCAGCCATGGTACAAGGAAGCAATTTTGTGTTTCCTACTGGTTGCTTATGCATGGTATCCAAAATGAAGAGGTTTGCTATTATTAAGCAAACATAATATGCTAGGATTTCAGAAATAAACAGAATTATACCAATTTTGTAATGTCTTTGAGTAACATTGACTCTGGCTGGATTTTTCCTGGAAGGGAAAGTTGTCTTGCTATATATAGCAAATCCAGTTGCTCTACAGCCCAGTGGCTCAAGACATCATTTGAGTGAATTTCCATAAACTTCATTTTGGTTCCATGCTTCTGCTTGTTGTACTATCTACAAGCATCATTATCTAGAATTATCTATTAAAAAGAAGTATATTTTCCATCTGGTATTTCGTTGAAAATCACCTTTGTTTGTAGAAAAGTAGTGTCTTAGGAAGGCTCTAAAGCTTTGGTCTGCCTGGAATTTTGTTCCTATTTAGCAAGCTGGAGTTTGCTATCATTAGGTTTAGGCATTCTAAGGATACTGATATGAGAATTTCCTCCTCCACAAGAGTACTGAATATGTAGCAAACTGAAGAAACAAGGTAGGTACTTGTGCGGAAACATCTGTTCACATAGGGAGGCATTAAGGATTGTAAATCATTTTTTCCAGGGAGTGATTTTCAGGCACTTTTGGAAGTAAAGCAGCATAACAACTACTAGATTAATGAATCATAATAACACTAGAAGAAAAGATAACTCATTTGCAGACTTCTGAGTAAAGAGGCCTCATTTGCTAAAAGTTTTCTGATCCATGTAGCACATAAAAATCAATTACGTAAGCAAAGAAAAATAACCTTGAAATTCACCTGATGTTCCCTTTTGGACATTATTTCCCTGATTTAAAAATAGAAAGGCAACTTGGCCATGGAGTTTTTCAACCTAAGGCAGGCAGGGAAGAGAGTTCCGTCACATCAGGGTATGGACTGGGTTTCCTCCCAGGATGCTGCCATGTGCCCTCTCTGGCCTCTTCCAGGGGCTGCAGGATCTCGGGCAGGGGGAATATATGGGGCTGTGCCAGGGCAGTCACCCTCTCAGCCCCTGCCACTCATCTCTTCCTTGACGGCACAAAACATTTCTGCAGCACTTGTTATTTGTGGTGAAACAGGAAAACCTATACTCATATATCCCTGTGGTCTTTGTATCTCACTTCAAGCTGTCAGCAAATTCCCCTGTCATACCAGCCACCCAGCTAAAGAGCAATCCTAACAGACAGCTTCAAAAAGAATATGCTTAAAAGGGGTTATTAGTTTTACTCAGGATTTTCCTGTCAGCAAGCAGAAATTTCTTCATAGACTAATGTTTAGAAGTTATTTATAATAAAACTACTCACTAAAAGCCTCTCTTAATACAACTTTTCTGACAACAGTTGCAGGAAATAAAAAATGTCAGCATGTCTACTACCAGTATTCTTTAGAAACAGCCCTTGGCACAGTAACCAAATACCGAGGGAAAAACAACCAAAGCAAACATTGCAGCATCTCAGTATTTTTACAATTAACAGTTAAAGACACAATGTTGATATAGATAGTTGAACTATCTCAAGGTATAGACTTTACTTGAAGTTTCCTGGAAACTTGGTTTGGTATCAACCATGAGCACAATGGAGGGGCCAAATGCAGGTATACTACCCAAAGGAAAACATTACTAAATGCTACCAGCACTATACAGGAGAGGACACTAATGGACATCAAACAAAAAAATCCTAAGGATGAATTATTGTCAAGACTAGGAAGGTAGTATGCAGAAACTGTGCATCCAGAAGCACTTCTCCCTCTAAGTCAGACTGTCTGTGCCAGAGGGGGATGTCAAAAGCCCAGTGTGCTGGTGATACCATGATTTTTCCGATCACATGTACATCACATGCGTACTTACTGGAGAGAACTTAGTAATAATTAACAGTATTTGAAAAGCATAAAATAGCACCAATTTGAAGTCTACTTCCATATTTGATTTGTAAACAAGGAAAAGGAAGAAAACTGTATGAAAGAGAGTCTCTTGAGTTAAGCTTTTTAAGACCTATACTCATGTAATGCAAATTGACATAATTTGTCTTCAAAGCAGCAATGTGTATGCTTTCATTACCTCTGCAACTGGGTCTGTAACACAATACAGTATTTCTTAGCACACATGTTTAGAAACAGAAATGGTGGAAAAGAAAATATGTTATTATTTTTATACATGCCTTAAGAAATTATCATAGAAGGGATAGAAGAATTACAGGACTGAGCTGTAACTGGCTTGAAGTATAAGTCTAGAATTTCACTTACTTTTTGTTGATGCAGTCATCTTACACATAAAAGCAAAACTTACTTAGCCTAATACAAATATCTCAAGTGCACAGGATATACTAAGTATTAGACTAAATCTATTCAACCACAGGTTGAAACACTAATTTCTCATATTATATACCCTTATTGGTATTTAATAGGTCATTAGAGTAAGTTCTTTGAATTTTCATTTGTCAAATACGAGAAATGCCAATACTTACTCAAAATACAGAGTGAGGTCCGTTGCCAATATCGATTGCTTTAGAAGCTGCATAAGGTCACTGTAGTCCTTAGAGGACAAGTTAGCAAAGATGTTGTGACCCTATAATGAAAGAGATAAAAGAGGTAAAGTGCTAGCAATCAATACAGGTTTTTAAAAGGTTTTCTAACTCTTTAGCCTACTGTTTCGCTCTAACAGAGGCCTTTTCTGATTCATGGAGAAACTATGACAAAATAATAATGTTAATACTGCTGAGATTACATCGGGGTGGAAGAGTTGACTATTGTAATCAAGTGCCTGGACTGTTTTTCTAAACTCTGCTGAAATTATAGCCTCTTGAGGAAAGATTTACTCTTTGCTCTGACCCTGCATAGATTCAGTTTATGAGGAAAAACTATGGACACATCTCAATCTTTTCTCTTATTAAATGTTTTGGGGAGCAATGACTTGCAGCTTTTGAGTTGTGCGCCTAGTAGATTTATTTGTGCTGTTGCTTGCAGGCACACAAACTGCTATTAGAGCAAAGACATTAAATCAGTTTTTCATTCAAAACAGTCCATTTGCTCACTCTGCTCATTACTGCATTGTCTTACAGTGTATACAAGCATTGCCTATGCAGGCTAAAAACCTACAACTTTATGCAGTTTAAATGCCCTTTGTAGGCCAAATAGGCTACTTTTTCAGGGATCATGGATTAAGAATTTGAAAGGTGCTCTGTGGCCAGAATAAAACAAATTATTTAATATTGGTATTTGAGAGCAGGAAGGTCCATTTGTAATCGCATTTCTGAAAACTGAGAGGGACAGAGATCCTATAATTTATGAAATCCTAGAGAAAATAAACAAGTTTAATGGAAAACTCTAAATGTAAGCTGAAGAAGTGATCTTTGTGACATTAGTCACAGGTAACTAAACTGACATAAATAAAAGCACTACCCTTTTTTTTTTTTCCTAATCACCTGTAGAAACAATGAGGTTCTTGCTAAAGAGAGTTTTATTTTGGTGGTATTTAGCACTGTAATGCACACATTCAGTATGCACTGCCACCTACTGCCTAGGAAGATTAAAATGCCCTTAAACCCAAGAACTTTCCAGGAGCAGGATTGCTATAACTCTGGTGGTCTGAGGACATAGTCAAGGTAAGGCCTGGAGGTAGAGATAGTATTTTTTAATAGATTAGGTAGTGTTTGGACTAAAAAAATATTTTGCCATTCATAAGAGATGATCTCTGCTGTGACAATGAAGTGATGATTTCTTTTCACCTAAATATTGAGAAGGATTTCAGAATCTAAAGCTTATTTATTAGCAAATAGGATATAAATTAATTTCAGTTTATTTAAGAGAGGAGACTGCTCAGCTGCTGAAATTTTAAGTGAATCTTGGTGTATCTTTAAATAGATTGTAGGATCCAAATTAAAAAGCACAGTGTCCCATTAGCAAATACAATCTACTGAATTAAAAATCATGTAGGTTTAATTTTCTAGTCTAGAAATGAGGACCTGGTGAGGACTGAATGGTCAAAGGGGAGGACCTGTATTTGACTTGCATTTGTCTTCAGACTTGATCCTGTCTTCAGAGAAATATTCAGTTACAGTGAAGATTTCAGGAACCAGAGAAATCACTGTTTCCCAGGAAGGCTTGTTCCAGGGACTGGACAGTCTCATTGGTTTAGAAAAATAAAAAAAAACTGCTTTTTTTCCTGTTCTAAACTGGTCTGTTTAACTTTCAAATGCTGTTTTTTCTTATGCCTTTCCCTGGTAGTGTAAGGAACCATTTAATTCCTAGGATCACCTTCTAGACAAGCTAGTCTAGGCTGAGCAGATTGAGCTGTTTAGATCTCATACCGGTCCTCCCCTTTCCTGTGTCTGCTTTTTTAATATAACATCTAGTAAAAGCCACAGTCCCATGACTAATCTCTGTGGCAGTGTACACAGAGGGAAGGCCATCACCCTGTTTCCACTTGTGACCATGGGACATTCCGAGATGCTCTTCAAAAGTTGCTGCAGATCAGCATATGGTCTCCAAGTGTGCTGTATACATAACATTATTGTTTTTATATATACTGGATGCATTCTGTAACAAGCTAGCTGTGTAAAATCAGAAAACACATCCTTCGTTTCTCACTGTATCTCTGAGGTAGTGCACGCTGCATACTGTTACACATAAGATATTCTAAATAAGAAATATGTCTTTATATCTATCTGCAAAACAACTAGTGTACTTTAGACAGCATGATATTACTGATATTTTTTTCATAAATAATTAAGTAAAATTATGTAAAACTATCATGAAAATACTGATTACAGAAAGACTGTCAAATAAAGTAAATTTGTCCAGTCAAGGATGACTGTGATACTCTGAATACAAGACCTGTGTGGAAATGTAAGAGCTTGTTTCACCTACCTATAAACCATTGAGCAGGATATATGTAAAAAGGCTGAGAAAAGCTGACAATGTGATTAGGATATGTTAGCCTTGCCCCTAGCTGATTGAGACAGATACAATTTCTGGGCTCTATGATCAGCATTTGTAGTTGTTTAATTTTGTGCTAGTTGTGACCTTTGTGGTAACCAGTAAATAACTCTTCAAGGAGAGGGCATTAAAAAGGTACTGTGTGTGGTATTTCCTTTCTCCAGCTGAAACTGCCCAACAGCTTACAGTGAGATTAATAGTAACGCTTTTGTACCTCACTTTGGAGAATCATGACAGCATGATTGAAGTGGTGGTGTTCCAAGGTAGCAGAGGTGCCGTAGAGCTGAGCTAAGGCTGATCCACTCCTGAAACAGAACATGGGGAGTCAACAGATACTGCATGTGTCTGCTTACAAAGCAGGTTTCAGAGACAGCTCAGTAACAAAAGCACGTAGCTATACGCTCCCTCTCCATTTCAACAACCACACTTAAGAGAGTTGACAAGATCAAAATACTAATTTAAAGACAAAGAATTTATGTTACGGACTTTGCTAAATATTATCAGCTGACTAAAGATTTTCCTGGAACTAATGAATGAAATTTCGTAATGTAACTTTCAAAGTGCTTCGCAGTGCAACAGCACAGGCACACCACTGTGCATTAAAGACAAACAGTAACATCCCTGAGCTAGGAGTGGCTGTTTTGCTACTGTTTTTAATTCTTAATAAACACAATGGCTTACAATAGGTGATTACAAACTCTTAAGAAAAATCCAAAACACAGCAAGAAAAAAATCAACTGCAAATGCTGTGAGGTTCTGTCTGCATGTAAAATCTTGCACTTAAAAAAACCCCACAAAGGTAAACAAAAACCCACAAGTGAGAGCAGTGAATATAAAAGTAAAGCTTAGCATATTTTGGAATGTATTTTCTCATCACGTTTATTGTCTAAACCAAAATTAGCTTCAGAATGCACAGAGCAGGTCGGTTTTCTAAGTCTGAAGAACAAAAAATCTATAGAATACAATTATAAAATTGTAAATCATTAGGAGGTGCAGAGAATGGGATTGGATTGTCAAAATAGTTACTGTTCACCATGACTTCACTTCTGGGATCTAAAGCAACAACATAGTTTTTCTTTCCAAAGAAATGAGAACAAGAGATTATTACACTAGAGACAAACGGAAAGAGGCTCCTAGGAGCATATACTATAAAACTGCATCATATTGATATTTAATTATCAGAAATGGCTATATTAGAAAGAAGGATGTCCAGGAAACATCATCCCTCGAGAATATGGTGTTGAGATATATAGCAGAGCCAATTCAGACAACTGCGATACTGCCTCCATCATATACCTCTTGAACTTTCATCATACAGAACAGCAGTATTGAACACTGAAGATAAAATAAGAAAATGTGATGCTTAAATTTATGTCAGGTTAGAGGAATAAATCATAGCTGCTGTTATGAAAACTACAGCTTCTGTTTTCAGGGATGTTTTATGCATGTGTAGTAATGTTTGTCTTTTGTTAAATGTCTTTGGCAATTTCTTTATGGAGACGTAAAATGATAGCCTCCTCTTCGTAACTCTGCTGTCAAACAACAAGTGTAAGTGATAGCAGTCTAGTGCCGAAACCTCTGCCTTTAACTCAGCCACCCCTCTACACAAAAGTAATGTTACAGTGGAGAAGTGGTTAACTTAATCAGAGCCTAAAACAGTCAGGATGTAAATCTTCGGTCTTGGGTTTTTTAAATTAGGAACGTAAACATCAATCAGCTGAGCTTCCTTCCTATTTGTCTCGTCTTTTTTGATTTTCTTCAAGACTCAGCTGCAAAAAGGCATCTAGCAGTGCTTGGTAACCTTTGCACCATAAGCTCTGTCTTTTGAGCACTGCAATTGATTTTCCTTGCTATGGTGATTGAAGATCCAGACAGTGTCATTGTTTCATTGAGACTGTACAGCAACACCAATAGCTCAGGAAATGGCAGCTTAGTGAATATCAGCAACATCAGTTTGAGTGATGTTCACTGAGGCAGCTTCCCCCAGAAATGCAGCAGCCCATGCATACACACAGTGCAGTAGAGTATTTCTGCACAAGGTAGGACAAAACAGGCTAATGCAACATCACCCTGCCTTTCAAGCATCTTTAGACAACCATTTGGCCACTTCTCCTATCACACTAGGGCTAGCAGTAATGCAGAACACACAAAGCTGAAAATACATGACGGGATCTGCAGGACAAGAGGCCGTAAAAGTCTTCTATTCTGGATGTAGAGGACCTGGGAAGCCAAGAAAACAACATAGGATTTGGAGGAGTCACTGTGTCTGACAGATTTGTTTCACAGCTCGGCCAGGCTGTTGTCAGGCAATACTTTTTGTTGTCGCTCCCTGTTCTCAGGGAACATGGGTTTTGGAAGGGAGTTCACCTCAGTTAAGGGAGTTCCCTTACCACCACAGTAAGAAGTACCCTCAAAACTTCCACAGCCTGCTTCTACCTCACTGTATCTGAGGGCAGCAGATTGGACAGTAAAAATATATTCAGGTCATGGCAGGTGAATGAGGTCATAGGCACTTTGAATAGAATAAAATTTGTTTTTAGAATTGAAAACAGCCTGGAGAGTAAGATTTCACATAGGTAAGAATCTGCATTTGAGATGCAGCTTCATGTTCTGGTGCCCAGTCCCCCCAAACCCCCCGCCCATTACAGCATGTCTCTGTACAGGCTCTATATGCTTTGGCATGTGGATCAGGTCAGGGAGGAGGCATTTCTACTTGCCAGGGAGGAGGCATTTCTACTTGCCAGGGACACTGCATGCTGCACAACTGATGGGTATGTGGTGAGATAACTGCTCCAGGCACCTGCTGTGGATGATATGTATCAGAGCCAGGGATTTATGTCGGCTTGCCTACACTGGTGTGAAAGGTTTTTTTTTGTGAAAGCATTACTTCAGTTTTACATATTTTCTTCATAATAGTTGAACAGCTTTTGCTTAACATCAGGCATTCCAACAAGCAGGAGCAACCCAGACACTTTCATTTTTTCCTGGGTTGAATACCAGCATCAATAATACCTAAGCCTGAAGAGAACATCAAGTTTTGGCATCACATTTCAATACACAGTGTCAGTTCAACAGCCTAATACAAAGGACAAGCCAGCAATTATCCAAAAGAACAGAGAATGATAAAGATGGATAGTCCCTCACTACATACAAGAATAAGAATAGCTGGCCTTGGCCTAGGAAACCTGAAATTAATCCCTCATTCTTCAACCTGGTCACTTTTTGCTCTTCTGTGGAAGAAAAACCAATTAAAGTAATAAGAATTAGAAAACTTACTTGGCTTGGAAGGCATTGTTGGTTCCCCTGTGGTCAAGGTCGTGACACAAGCATCCCACAATCAAAGCTAGAATTTCAATTTCAGTTAGAATCTCCTGAAATCCTGCGGTCTGAGGGCAGAAAAAAAATAGCAGCTGTAACTATCAGTATCAGAAGCGATAAGTAATGTTAGACCATCGAGGAACAGTCAACTTTGTTTTGATACCATGAATGTTTCAGTAAGGAGAAGATAAATGCTTTATTGTCATATTATATTCCCTGCTGTATGTTAGATGGTTAGCAGAACAGATAACGTCCTTGGAGTGATCTGTTACTATCTCTCTGTTGCATTTCCAGCGTGTCATTTCTCTACTACCCAGAAGTCACTAAAGGCAAAAAGAGCTGAAGACAAACACCAATAACTGCACACTAAAACAGGAACTGGAATTTCATATCAGAGAAATAAAAACCAAAATTCATTTCATTTTGAAATTATTGTTTGGAGGAGTAGACAGAGTTCTTCAATCATGAGGTGACCATCTCGGTCAATCCCTAGTGTCACAGATAGCCAAGATGTTAAATCAAAAGACTTATAAAGGAAGCCAGCTAAAATATGCTCTGAGGAACTGTTATGAACTATTAAGAGATTTTTTTATCTGGGACATATGAAATGAAGCAATATGATTCAAAGAGGAAATCTGGCATATTTCTGCTGTAGATACCTACTTGAATTTGGGAGAGAATTTTGAAAACTGATGTACTGAAATTTCCCATGAGCAGCTCAGACCAGGTATGACCACGTGAAGGGGGATGCTCATCCTACAAACATTTTTTGCTGCTGTGCTTCTCCATGTGGATACTTGCCACAGCAGTTTTCCTGCCTGAACTGCCCCATGCCAGAAAAGAAACACTACTGTTACTGCTAACCTCAAGCATCCTGAACAGGTCTTGCCTGGAGGAGGTGCTGGAGCCCGAGTGGGACACCACCTCATTGGTGCTGCACATCTAACTGTCGAACCACCTGGTTCTTCAACTCTTCTGAAGCATAAGGACATATTGCCTGCAAAAATAACTGGCTGAGTTGGAAAATCATAACACTTGTCTTTTCACAGCGCCATTCTCTAATATTAGACACTCCCCAACTAGCCACACAATCCAGTTAGTATGAAAGGAAATTGTATAAAAGATATATAAAATAGATTTATATTGGACCAAACCAAGGCTGAACACTAATAGTACTTAAGAAAACTTGAATTCCGTTGATTTTTAATAGAGTACAATTTCACTCACTGGCAAGAAGAGGGTGATACAAAGATGGTGAAGATCAGTGGGACTTGATGTCCATACTTGGTAGAACTTACAGCCCACTCAGAAATGCCAGTCAATTGTTGCAATACCATGTGAAAACTCTTCTGTTCACCCTGAAGACCACAAATTCCACTTAAGTAAATGCACATTCAAATCCAAATAGCCTCTGTTTTCATATTCTGAAATGTGGCCACAGTTAATATTTAGGCAGTGCAGGGAGCCAAGCTCCCCGAGGTGCTCAGGAATGCATTTCAGCAGGAATTGAGGAAGTGCAGGACTTGCTACAAAAGCTTCAGAGTTGTGCCAAAAGTTTACATATCAGAAAAGATGGTCAAATATAAGGAAAAATGATTTCTTTCACGTAAAATCCACTGGTATACAGAGTAACTTGAATGTTAAGAGATTCTTCTGATTCCTAGGGCATCGCTTTTTTTCGTTTCAGTAACAGCTTCCCAGGCAGAGGAAATTGTCTAAAAAGGAGAGTTTTCCCCTTTTACTTTTTAAACATTGCTCTTGTGTAACAGTTAATAATCATGGTCTATTTTTTAAAAAGGAATGAACTGTAACTGACATCATGCCATGTGTGAAGTTTCAATCTAGAGGAAATGTTCACAGCTAAGCTAAAACAACTTAAAATAGAAATGTTATAACATAAAATTGATGGTGTAACAAATATTCTTTAGCATAACGCAAGCTTTGATTAAACTCAAGCATTAAACCTGTATTGCAAATACAGGAAAGCTGATTAAGAAATTTATTAACAGTAGCAATATCTCAAAAATAAATGCAAGATTTTATTTAAGCAGAGGTCTTGTCATTGAATCTATGAGAGAAATATGCATATTTCACTTAATAAAAAACATTTAATTTGAAACAATGTTACGGTAAGGGGATGTCTGCTTTGACCATAATGTAAGAAAACAGAGGATTATGTTTCCTTATGTTTTGAATTTGCACAGGGAGAAAAAATACGTGGCTATAGCTGATCGTGCAGTAAAATTCATTTTCACTAGAAAAGGAATGACCCATAACTCATGAGTGGCAGAGTCTCCAGTGAGTTATAGAGGTCATTCTTTCATGTGAGGAAATGAATTGCATTCATTATACCTTGCCCCACATTTATATGTTTTGTTATTAGCACAGCAGATGGGATTTTAATTTTGTATTGCTTACTTGTTCATTCTTACTTTTTGAAACAAGTGTCAATGTGAGCTGTGTTAGGCAAAGGCATTCATAATGAAGCCTGGGATTAATCCTGCACTTTAATCTCACGTGATGTCCTTAACTCGCAAGAGCAGTCTTCCTTCAGTCCTTGTCTTCAGAATATTTGGGTAAGTCTGAAATACAGAAGCACGGCTTGCAGGACTGGGCTTATAACTGCTCAGTCTCTAACCGGAGAGAGAAAATACATACTTTGATATACAAGAACATACCTTAGGTGTGCAGAAGGCTGATCCAGGGGTGAAACAACTGGTTTAAGCTTTGTTTGGTTTCTGTTGTTTGGTTTTTCAACCCAGCTGAATTTTCCTTCTGCATTCAGTGGGAGCAGGTGGGGCCATTAGAGGCTACTGCATTATAGACTAGACATTACTGTGCTATGGTAAAGCTACTTGGAAATGCCCTAAAATAGACCTATTGGCTTCTATTTGTGGTGCAGGCAATATGCTGACTGTTGTAGAGAAATCAGGAGTAGGGTGTGATAACTGCACAGAACACTGCCTTCTTGACCATCAGAGCCCCTCTACAACGGTCAAGGAATTTTGTCTTTTTGCAAGTGGATAAACAAGGTGCATACTAACTTGGATGGTTTCCCCAAGACAACCGCAGTAAGAGCAAGCCTTGTGCTATTACTAATCTCTTGACTCTCTCTTTTGTGTCTTCTTCTTTTTTTGGCAAGATGAGTTTTCCTACCTCTGGAAGGGAGAAAAGCACAAGCAGGCCATACACAGAACTCACTCTGTTCTCAGCCAGAGCCACAGCAGAGTGGGGTGGGATACATGGTGAGTCCAGTGCCAGGGGCACATGCAGCCAAGCTCTGCACATGGAATTGCTCATTCGGTTTTATTACCAAAAGCATGTGAAATAAAATGAGCTAGGCTTGAAAATGCTCGCACAGACAGTTGCATCCCTGTGCCGACTGCTAAAAGAAACACGAAATTGTGCTTTGAGAACTACAGTCAAAGCAGTTTATGGCTGAGACCTCTCAGGCTTTTACTGGTGGCTGCTGGAGGCGCAGGGATGTGCTTTCTTGCTGCCAGTGTAGTCACAGCTATCTGAAATGGAGAAGCCTAGTGGGAGAGCGCGTTTCCGACCGAAGAGCGGCCTGCCCAAAACGTGGCCTCAGAGCTCCACCTAGAGGTCCTCATGGGTGAGGCTTGAGGGCTCCTCACGCCCTGGCAGCATTTGACAGAAACTAGTGTAATTCCCAGGTAAATGGTGCTGCCTGACTTTACCCTTACTTGTCTAAGTAAAAAGCTTTTCATTTTTCTATAACCGAAAAGAAAAAAGCATGTCAAGTTTATAAAACGTTAAAAACGGCAGATGCCCACATATTAGCACGAGATTTTATTAGAGACCATCAGAAAGTGTCTGCTGAAACAACATCAATTCTGGTCAGCTGAGCAGCCCCTCACACCCAGAAGTTCAACCCTTCTCTCTTGTTGAACACCTCGATTTCCTTTGGCTCATTCTGTATGGTAAAACCTTGTTACGCCTCTGTAAATGCTCACAGAAACAAACCCATATAGTTGGTATGGACCTAGCACTAGACCACATCTACTTGCGTCATACTCTTTTTTTTTTTAAGTTGCCTGACACAAAAAAGTTCTGCCACAGAGATATGCCAAATGGGAACCCATGCTCTGTGGGCAGGAAACAAGCCACAGGCTGTCTCAAGTCCCTGTAACACCGGTGCTGATGCATTCTGTGAATGGCACAGGCTGTGGGGATTCCACTGCTGCAGACAGGATCCAAATGCTAACCATGCCACAGAGACCAGCCGTCAACAAGAACATAAGAATTGGGGAAGAAGCACATGATATTCTAGATAAATAAATACTTACACAAATGCTATTAACATGATCACTTTAAGGTTCACAATAGATGACTGGCCATTAAGACTAAACATGAAAATGGAAAAACTTGAATTCTTATTTTTAACTGGAGGTAAGGCAAGCCCAAAATGTAAAGTGCAGCAGTTAAGTGTTGTGTGCACATAGACATGTTGCTTCTCTTTTGCCATATTAACCAGCATATTAAACATCCAGGACCACCGAGGTTTATATCAACACATTTACAAGAATTAATTAGCCAAATGTGGGTTATTTATTGCAGCACGGTTGCTGTGGGGTAGGGGAGAAAGAGCAAGTAAGAGTGGTGATACCTGCATCAGAATTTACTGGTGTATTGAAAGGAGTTACAGGTACTGATGGAGATACATATTAATCAAAGCCAGAAATGTTACAGTGTCCGACAGAGATACAAGATTCACTTAGATCACTCTGTTGGAAGATAATCTTAAAACGTTTTGAAGCAGTATGTTCTACAATTATTTAGATGAAGCTGGATAGAAAAGTAGTAAATATAAGCATAGTAAATACTTCTGAGATTTTAATCTTCCTTGGTTTTGTACTTCCCAATTTAAAAGTCCGAAATAAATGTCAAATCAAAGACTTCCAGAAGTAAAACAATTTTGTAAGATCAAGATCTATAATAACAAGCTCACTCCAAGACTGCCATCTGTTTTCAGTCACTTTAATGTGCTTGTGATATCACTGTCACTAAAACACTGTGAGGTTTTGCCAAATATATGCTGCCTTAAGTTGAATAGCTTCCGTGTGCACTTCTATTGGAAATGACTGGGTATCATGATAGCTAAAAAAGAAATCAAATGCTGGAAAATGTGTAGACAGGTAAAGCAATGTGGCAGTAAAAGCTCCGGTGGGATTGTGTCTGTAGCTGGATACTCACAGTTAACATGGCAAACATTAGCTGGCAGACGTTGAAGGCATGCCTCCAGTTGTGGTACAAAACCATTCGATAATTCTTCCTAACTGTCAAAAGCCACCTACACAGCGTCTGAAATGAAAAGTACAAATTGTATCAGGGTTACTAAACGTGTACAGATGGACAGAGCAGTGCCAAGACAAAAGCAGCAGATCCCTCTGCAGTGCAGATGGTTACCTCATAGTCAATTTTAAATTTCTGAACCATTCCAAGTTCCATGAACATCCGCAGGGCTGCAGTAATCATGGCATCCACATCCAGCGAGAAGTCATCAAAATGAATGTCATCAATGCCAAGCTCTGACACCAGAGGGATGTTTGCTGCCTGAAAAAGCCAAAAGGAAAGGGAAACTTCTGATTTAAAACTTGGGGTTGTTTTTTGTGTCACTCTTGCAACAACCCATACATCAGTTCTGACCTGCCAATACACCCCCTGCTTGATTTGAATGCTGAGCAATAAAAGTCTTCATTGGAGAAATACGAACATGTCAAGCTAACGAGCAGAGAAACAGTGGGAAGGAGAAGAAGCTGGTGTGAGCAGGAAATATGCTCACCATTCCAACTTGAGCCCATATATAGCGTTTAGACTGTGAGAGCTGACCACTTTACAGCTACTGCAGTAATGCAATATATTCCAATGCAAATTACAATGCTGTAATGCAAGAAACATCTGGACAGCCAGCAGCTGGGAATTTTAATTGCTACCATTCAGAAATGCAAAGTAAATATACTGCTCTGCAGAATTTCTTCATCCAAATGTCTTTACATTTGTAAGTATAAAGTGCCCTTTGCTTTATACTGCTTACTACACATTTGTAGAACCAAAAAAACAGAGTAATACAAGAAATCTAGCAGAAATACTTTTCAAAGTAAAACAAAACTTATTTGCAATATGTTGATTATGTAGTAAGCCAACAAACAGCAGCAAAAGCCTTACATTTTGCTTTGTCCATGTAACAGCAGACTTTTGTTCTGTTTGTAAGAGCTCTTCATGTACACAAAACCTCAGTTGAGTATGCAGGAGTGGCTAATGCATACAGTTGTGCACACAGATGTGTTGTGGCTGGCCCAGTGGCAGCAGCTGCAGGAGCCAGGCAGAGGTGCTGACATCCCTCATGGGCTTGTTTGCCCTTCCTTGCGCCACTCGTCTCCCTAGAAAGGGCAGGTGGAGGAGGCTGCATTTGTTGTCAGAGCATCTGTTCCTTGTCTCCCGCAGTGAGAAGGTGATGGGTCAGACAGAAACATCACAAAGAGGCTGCGTCCGGCCCACAGGCCATGAGCTGGACCATGCTGAACTAGTTAAAATCTCACGGACTCAGCTGATGTGGCACATGCAGCTACTCACTTGTATAAAATACCAATTTGTTCATGCATCTGTAAGTTCAGCTTCACAGTTGCAACTTCTGTGTGACCACCTTACGTGGTTTTTCCTTTTTGAAAACCTGTGTTTTGAAATACTGCATTCTAACTCCAAGTTACCGATGCGTAAAACACTTTCTCTGGCCAAAGGGAAAATGCCATCTCAATAATTACTTCATGCAGAGATTAAGCTGGTTTAACTATACTGATGTAAACCTGGCATAAAACAGTATTAACACAGCAGTGTTAACATATTTATTAGCTACAATAAAAGCCTTTGCTGATGAGCACCCAGTAAGAGCATTCCAATACCACAAAATGTTGTGGTATTACACCAGTGAGGTTAATGGACGTAGGGAATACATCAAATCATTAAGTCAAGTGTCATCCCAGGACACAGCTGAACCACCTCTAGAGCATGCAGGCAGAGGTGTAAGCTTTGTTAAATGCATACTGACTTTGTCAGCAAGCGTACCTATCCAGGTTGAATCAATTCAGCATCTTTTTATATATATATTTAATATTTGTAATCCTTCTAGATGATCCCAACAGGAGTTACACCTTAACACCCTTTAAGATGTGAGCTATGTGTTTACTTCTGAGGCAAAAAAAGAAAGAAAACATGGTTAGCTGTGAAAGAGGAGCCTGGGCCCAGGGACTGTGATGTCCAGACCTTTAGCGGTCTTGCAAAAATGGTGACTTTTTTATCATTCAGTTATTCTTCAGAGCTTTGGGGGGTACTCGAGGTGCATGCTAATATTTAGTCTATGAGTGCACTCTTTGCATAGTAAACGTGCTCTTCATAGAATGTCTCTGAGGGAAGAAACATGTTTGTCAATCTTGTTTGGTCCTTAGAAATAAGTTTAAATAACAAAGATGCTGAATGGGAAGGACCTGATTGTAGGTAGACCTGCTGGAACCTGTTTTATTGAAAGTAGCTTTACAAACTTACTGCTGCATTTTCATTCACTTTGAAGTGGGCTCTAATTAAATTTGTCACATTTTTTTCCCCTCTTAAAAGAAAACAAATATTTTCCTGGCTTTTTACTGGAAGCAAACACTTTTACCAGTCTGTTACAATTCAGGGAGAACACTTGAAGGAGTTGCTCAACTACAATTGTCTTTCCCTTTTTCAAACAGTGGAGAAATAACAATATATCCCAAATCTATTATGAACTGAGCAACAGGATATTAACAAAACAAGTCAAAAACAATTTCTTCCCATGTCAGTTTGAAACATTTAAATATTTATGAGGTTTTACATTCCTAAATTTAACAGGAGTGCCATCATCCAAAATAACTGCTGAATTAATAGCCAGAAGATAACATTTGTATAAAAGAACCATTTGCTTTACAACAGCAATAAAGGAAACAACAGAATTATGAGTGTTGAGACTAATTTGAATAATGTTAAAAAAATTATATGATGTGGGGCTGCAGCAATATTCTGGATGCACCTGGCATTGTCTGTCCTCAGCTTCTTATGCTAGAAATGCAGCAGCCCAGGGTTTATAGAAGAGTCATTAAAACTTCATTTTTTTTAATTGCAAAGATATAAAAAATATTCATAGTACAGAATATTAAAACATATCCATCCCTGAAATTTTGTTGCACTGCAGGACAAATTCCAGGGATTTCTTAAAATAAACAGTAATAACAATACTCTCTTCCAGGAAAACAGGCGGGATGAAAACACCATGACAGTAAGAGAAAGGAGCAGACAATTAAAATTCAAGTTACAGTGAAATTACTTTTTAAAGCCCCCCAGTGATTTGAAATCACTTAAAAGATTTGCTTCCTTTTGAACATTTTAAAGTTCAATTTCCCCTTTCTAGAAACAATTAAGAACATTATACTCTGAAGTCTTCTCTCCCTGTGGACTAAGCAATTTTGACACTCTTTATCCTTAAAAAAAACTTCACATGACTGTTCTGTGCTTTTATGGTAAATTAAAGCCGGACGTGCCTCCTCTTGTCATTTCTCCATACCCTCTGGTACTAAAGCAAAAATTTGTCTTGAAAGGAGCCACAAACACCATGCATGGGAGAGAACCGGTCTTGCCTAATGAAGTACAAACTCAGCGGTTACCAGACTGGGAAACTATCACCACTTGTAGGCAGCTTGAAAAAAAGGATGTCATGCCCTGAATGACAGCGTAAGAACAAAGTCTGTAGGTACCCCATATTCAGATGTGCATGGGGTGGGTTGGATACAGGAGGGGGGAAAAGCACTTACATACTCAGTTCAGGATTGGAGACAGATTCTCCTTTCCTCACTGCCCTTCCTATCATGTAAATTGCTTCACAGGCTGCTTGGTGTATGTGAACAGCTAGGAGATGAGTGACTGGTTGAGCCTTACTTTATATCTGCCACCCTGAAAGGGCCATATGTCATTAACGACCATTTGGGCTGCTGTGGATGAACAAAGCCTAGGGAAAACTTTAGGAAACTAGAGAGTCAAGGTTTTATGGAAACTTGGCAAGGCTAAATACTTGAAGTAAAAGCTACTGTTTGATGCTTAGATCTTAGTGCTGCTGAACACAACTATTTCATGCTATTAGAAATACATATAATACATATGTTGTATAAAATGGTCTGTTTATATCACTAGCATGCAGCTAAATAACAAAAAGAATAACCATTCATTCTCAACTTTTCTTCTAGGGAGTATATGTTAATGGGTAAACGTATGCCAGAAAAATGCAGTATAATATACACACACAGAGCAATCAAGAAGCAAATGCAATCAACACATTGAAAAGGGGAGACTTCTGCTCTTATGCAGATTATGCTGCCAGCATAAAAAATGGTCAGAGAGAAATAACTCCTTATGTAGGGAAAAACTGTATCACGTCATCAGATATGAAATAGCAATTTTTATATTTAGTAATGTGCTATAGCAGAATTTACTTATGAGACAGTCTGGGTCAGTGTCGGAGAGAGAGAAATTTCAAGGTGGTGATTACATTTTGTCTCATCTTGCCATAATCTTGTTTCATCCTTATTTCCTACAAATTGGCACACATTGATAGGCAGTTCAAGGAGTTTCTTAAACAAAAGATACCTATAGCTCAAGGGTCTGATTGTAATAACTTAATTCAGCATTACACAATGTATGAAAATAGTTTTTGATCCCATTTGATACTAGGAACACAGGACAAAAATATCATTCCACAGATTGACTGAAACTTAAGGGAAAGCTTACTAAATGATTTTGCACTAATTCTTCTAATAGCATATTTTTCACAATTTTCTATATCCATATTTGATAACGTGATAAAATCAGATGTAAGGAAACTGGTGAGCTCTTTGAAAAGCATTCCTGGTAAAACATTGACTATAATGGAAGCAGTCCAGCTAAACACAGAAAACTGAAATCCTACTTTGCTGTGTCAGCTTAAGCTGTCTGTACTTCAGTTTTAAGACCTGTGTGGATAAGACATTAGTGCTTATTATGTGAGGAAAGCATTTCAAAACCTACTGATAAGTATATTAGTATGGCTTTGTTAAAAAAGAATATTAAAGGAGCACATTTTGTCATTTGGTATGCACAGCTTCTTCCCCATGCACTACCAGGACTATTGTCTAACAATAATTTCCACTGCTGAACATAGACCACATTTATATAGCCCTATGGACAATGACACATGGAGGGTTAGCGAAGTTTCCTACTCAGAAAATACTGCCAGACTGATGGGAAAAAAAAGTAACAAGTAACTCAAATATACAACACGTACAAAGATATCCCATGAAATATATGTTCCGATGCAGCAGAAGACTGGCAAATCAATATGGTATGCCTCTTAACTCCCGGGGGCACTGTCTAAGTCAGGAGTACACATACTATTTCAATAGCAGGTCAGGATCTGACCTCATTTGTACTCTATAGTGAAACAAGTTTCAGACAACATGACATACACAAAAAAAAATAAGACCACCCTTCCAAGCATCTCTTCTCTCACAGTC